TTTCCTAAGCCTCTCTTCCCAACTTTTCCTAAGCCTCTTCCCTAACTTTTCCTAAGCCTTTCCCTAACTTTTCCTAAGCCCAGTGATTTTCAAAGTGTTTACTTCGGTTATGCCATGTCAATAGCCAGAGAGTATATACAACAGCTTTTTTGCTAATGAGCTGATTCTAAGTCAGTCTACTTGGGCAATTTGCATTCTGAATAATCAACATTCAATTAGCCACTGTAATTTATATAACAATTTTCGAAAAATAAATTTTCTAAATTAAATGAGTTCCATATCTAGTGAATTTTCCTGTACTTAGCTCCCTACCACTAGAGCATAGTACAATCTTATTTCAGATACATCAAAGCGTCTACCTAGCTGCTTACCGCTCCAATCTCGTTAGTGTGTAAAATGTGCCTGGACATCACTGTCAAAATGTCACTTCACGTAACCTTCCACACTAACACATGTAATATATATCTATAATAAAGTTAAGTAAAAATGAATATGGCGCACTGGAAAACACTAAATTTTAATCCACCAACAAACCAGTTTATATTTTAAGTGCTTCTTGTAATAAGTGCAATAAGTGAAATATAGTGTTAATCCAGTGTATCGAATAACTTTCACCAATGGCATTCGATGTGAATCAATCAACAGGCAACGTAGTGAGCAAAGCTAAGGTATTCCGCAAAGCAACTTCATCAAAAGCGTACCTATCATACACAGTAAAAGTGCTACGAACGAGGTTTCAACCATCTCCATCAGAAACCTCATGTTATCAAGACCCATCGCTAGGTACAACGCTCGTAACCTTGGGCAGTCGGCATGAGGTAGAAGCCAGCGTCAACCAAAGAGAAAGGTCAGTAGGCGAGGACGCTTCCAACAGCGATGACAAAAAAAAACAGTGCAATTGACAGTGACTATGTTAAAGGTTTTACACCAGAATTAGCCAGTTCACCACCCACAGACGGCTACGATGTTCCCATTGGCTCCGTAGCCCAAAACTTCAACTACAGAAATGAAAATATAGACTCGCAATCTTCATACAATGTCCCAGTAGGAAACAGATTTTCGGAATTAGCCTCCTAGGAAACCAATTCTCTTCCCCCAGATAACGGCTTCAACTATTTAATGTATGATCAATTTTCACAGTCTACTACAACCAATAAAATACCCCTATTTCTATTGCCGAGATAACTAACATCAACTCATTTGTTAATGAAATTAAAATTAACGTATCAAAATCTTCGTGGCTGAACAAAAAACAACAAAGTGAAAATAAATCCCGGTTCAGTTGATTTCCTTAAAATCATCAAATACTTAATCAACACAAATAGAAGATTTCACTTCTACAAAGACCCTGCAAACAAAAACTTTTCGGTAGTGTTCAAAAATGTCCACCTCTCCATAACTGACAGTGAAATCATGCAAGATTTAAAACAAAGACATCCATCCATTGTTAAAAATCAACCTCCTTCAGGACAGCCATCCCATTCCTGTAATAGTAGCCGAGTTCAACGAAAATGAACCACTGGAAACAATACTCAACATTAATCAAATCTGCAACCTCACAGTCACCACCGAAAACCGAAAAAGACCAAAAGGTCTAGTACAGTGCTATAGATGTTTGGACTCTGGGCACTCAAGAAACAATTGCAATCACAAAATTAAATGTGCAATATATTCTGGTAATCACTATACTGTAACTTGTCCTTCAAGTAAAGCAAACTCCACCTGTATTCTCTGCAAAGGCAATCACCGTGCAGATGTAAGAAATGAGAACTGTTTATACTATAAGGAAATTGTTGAAAAGAAAACCACCCCTAATAACATAAGAAATCCATACCAAAGAACACCATCATCATCCCTTAGCAACCAACAAGAACAATTTCCATCAGTACCCTCTACCCAGCCAATCCGAAACTTCACTAGGAACAACAACCCTGTAAACCAACCGGATGCGACGAGATCACAAAGAAACCGTACTCGACAAAACCAACAAGACAACAATAATCCCCTTTTAAATACAATAATTAATTCTATATCGTCCATTATTAACTTCATAAACTCCCTCATACCATCAATAATCAATACAATTCAAAATACAGTTACTGGATTTTTTAATAACAATGTCAATATAAGCCCATAGAAATATATCATTAACAAATTGGAATGCAAATGGGATCACATCCAAAAGATAGAACTTACTCAATATTTACACGTATAACAGACATTGCGTATATAACAGACGCACCTAAACCATAGTAATAAATTTTACATTCCAGAATACAAAATTTATAGAAATGACAGGACTGACATAAAGGAGGTGGTGTACTTAAAGCACTAAGGAATAATATAATCCATCATGACATTAATATACCAAACATCACAGGAATTGAAACAGTACCAATAACCCTAACAATAAACAATGAATCATGAAATATAATAACTGCCTATAAACCTCGATCAATAAAAATACAACCCCAAAATATTCTTAATCTATTCACCCTAAACAAAAAACAACATTAAT